AGCAAGAAGCAGAAAGAGAGTTCCACAAGCGAAAAGTCATTTCTCGCCATTTCAATTGTAAAAGGATGAGACCTTGCTGCCAATCTAGTACTGAGCTTAAAGTCATAAAGTCTAAGTATCATGGAGTAAAGTTCAACATTCCAGCTTTCCCTGCCGATGCAAATATACTGATGATGAGGTGAGTCTGCTGATGACATAGGTGTTCTCAGTTGTGACAATAACATCCTCTACTCAGTATTCCAATAAACAGGACTAAACAGAAACTGTGATCTGAAAAATGAAATGAAAGAAAGGATGGAACGCACTTTGTGTCAATCATAATAATTCAAGATATGGAATATAGTCAATACTAAAAACTTCAAATAAACGAGTGTATGGATCATTTATAACATATATTATAGGAGATAAGGAAATTGAACACAAAATAGGCTGCACATAGGATAGTTTCGCCCAACACCGCCAATTGCTGCAAAACCAAAACATTAACCTAAAACTAGAGTCACGTTCTTAAATAGATGGACATTTTCATTTGGATGTCACGTATGGCGCCAAACCCGTTCAGAAATGTCTAAAATATCAACTGTACACAATCGCTTCCTAAGATAAATAGGAAAAAAAGGCTTTGAGCGAGTAAAGCCTGTTAGTCTCGGCAAAGATCATCTTTCTTTGAACACTGCACTGACGTTACAGAATCGCAACAAAGAACTTTACCAAATAACAGAAACCACATCACTTGAGGACTTCCAACAGCATCAACAACAAAAATGGATAGCACATTGATAAGATAATGAAATAATCAAGATGTTAACAGTACACACCACATCAAATAAAAAGCTAGCAAGGAAACCGGCATTAGTACTGAAAAGAGCGATAACAGCTACTGGACTTGAGAAACCTGTTTTCCTAAAGAAAGTGTTTTTTAGAGAAAGATTTTCTTGACATGTATAGCGCAAAACTTGTTCACTTTCTGTGATCAATGATTTAAAAATGTCTTCGAGTGAATGAACCATGTAGCTCTTCGAGAGGACCATTCTTCTTCGAATTTCGTAGACTGGCGCTACAGAATCACAAACGAAGAAATTTTACCAGCTAACAGAAACTACATCACCTAATAATTTTCAACAGCTGCGACAACTAAAATGGAAAGGATATATAACCCGAAATGAAAATAATCACATCATGATTCTGATCTTCCACAGTACTTCAAACAAAAGGTTAGGGGGGAAACCCCCATCAATACTGAAAAGATCAGTAAGAGTGGATTTGAAAAACCTATTTTCTTGAAAAAATTGTTTTAATAGAAAGATTTTATAAATTTCAACGGAAAGGAGAATGATCGACTATTTATTTTTTCATAAAAACAGTTAACATTACCCTCTCTCTCTCACTATCACTTTTTCTTTTTCCCTCGCCTTCTCACTCTGTTTTTATCTCACACACACTCTATACTTTTTCTGTCACACACTCACTCTTCCTCTCTATCTGTCTCTGTCTCTCTCTTTCTTTTGCTGTCTTTTTCACTCTCTATTACATTCTCCACAAATATTTTTAGCAATTGAGAATATTAATAGGTGCCAAAAATCTCTCGTCAAACCAAAACGGGATTCAAAAATACTTCCTAATATTTATTCATCTGGTTAGATATTGAGAAATGGATATGCCACGTCAGATTGGACAGACGAACAAGGTAGATAATGAAAAGGGATAGATAGATAGTGAAACAGGAAAGATATGTAGAAAATGAAAGGTGATAGATAGATAGATAGATAGATAGATAGATAGATAGATAGATAATGAAAAAAAATTTCTTTGTATATGATAAAATCTAATTTTGAGTTTCGTGGGCGGGGGGTTGACCTTTTTCAAGAACTAAAACAAATTAATACATTTTTCATTATTTTTGTACAAAAAGTTCATCCATTTGTGACAGGAACATACAGTTACAAAAAGCCATAACTCTAATATATATATATATATATATATATATATATATATATATATATATAATATATATATATATATAATAAAAATGATTTATAATTCAGAGTTGTTAGCATTTATTTATATTTTAAGGAAAAACAATGATCAATACAAACAGTAGAGCAATATATTATAATTGTTTTTTTTAATTGTTTTTTAAAAGTATATTTTATATAATAAAATAATATAATAGCTACTGAACTGGAAAAAACCTATTTACTTGAAAAATTGTTGTAATAGAAAAATTTCAACGGAAAGTAGTACTGGCTGCTCGGTCAAAGAATGCCGAATGTTTCATTATAAGAAAATGGCTGATATTACCATAAAGATCCGTCCAAGAAAATACTCAGATTCGTAGTAAATATATATGAAGATGACAATCCAGTGTATGAGTACACGTCCAAATATCTTGATGATCAATGCCTGTCATCTGATCTTTCCTTTGACTAACTCTCACAGTTCAATGGGGAAAAGACTGGTCGATGACCAGTACCTGTCATCTGATCTTTCCTCTGACCTAACTCTCACAAATCAATGAGGAAAAGCCTTGTTGATGACCTGTACCTGTCATCTGATCTTTCCTCTGACCTAACTCTCACAAATCAATGAGGAAAAGCCTGGTTGATGACCTGTACCTGTCATCTGATCTTTCCTCTGACCTAACTCTCACAGATCAATGGGGAAAAGCCTGGTCGATGACGAGTGTCTGTAATCTAAACTTTCCTCTGACGTAACTCTCACAGATCAATGGGGAAAAAACTGGTTGATTACCAGTGTCTGTCATCTGATCTTTCCTCTGACCTAACTCTCACAGATCAATGAGGAAAAGCCTGGTCGATGACCAGTGCCTGTCATCTGGCCTCTCCTCTGCCCTAACTCTCACAGATCAATGAGGAAAAGCCTGGTTGATGACCAGTGCCTGTCATCTGATCTTTCCTCTGACCTAACCCTCACAGATCAATGAGGAAAAGCCTGGTCGATGACCAGTGCCTGTCATCTGGCCTCTCCTCTGCCCTAACTCTCACAGATCAATGAGGAAAAGCCTGGTCGATGACCAGTGCCTGTCTGATCTTTCCTCTGACCTAACTCTCACAGATCAATGAGGAAAAGCCTGGTCGATGACGAGTGTCTGTCATCTAAACTCTCCTCTGACGTAACTCTCACAGATCAATGGGGGAAAGCCTGGTTGATGACCAAGTGCCTGTCAGTTTATCCCTCATCTGACCTCTCACAGATCAACGGAGGAAAGGTGATTTGGTATTGTTCAATCCATCCAAAACTAAACTCGTAGTTTCATCAGCATTGACAAGACTCTAAACTTGCACTAATCCTGATGTGTGGTCAGTACCGTCAAAGAAATTCCTTGCCTCGACCGCCGACTGGGTCTAAAGCTCTCTCCCGACCTCAAATAGTATGCGGGTATTGGTGCTATCGCAAAAGAGGTTGGAGGCCGTTTCTTTGTATCTATATAGAAAATATCGACACCCAGCTGCCATTCTCTGTCTTTGCAAAAATCACATTTGGACAATTCACATTTTCTTTTCTTCATTTTCCGTCCATCACCTTTTTAGGTCTTTTGTGGGGTTTTAGTCAATCTGCTTTCAATTCTTTTTAAGTTTTCATTCATTTAGTTTAATTCTTTTTTTTTTTTTTTACTTTTTAGTTCATCGTGTTTTATACGTTTTTTTATTCCGTCCAACTCGTTTTTCACTTTTTTTAAAAAGTTTTTCATCCACCTCGTTTTTCCCGCCTTTTTTTAAAAATTATTTTACGGTCTATTTTATTTTCAGTTTATTTTCATTTTTCTTTTTTTTTGTTTACTTTTCCGTCATTTTTATTTATCTTTCTTTTAAATTTACTTTCCTGTCTTTCTCATTTACACGTTTCTTTGTTTTTTTTTTTTTTTTGTATTTTGCTTTTCAGTTTTTTGTTTGATTTTATTTTTCATTCCATCTTAATTTCACTTTCTTTTTTTTTTTTTTTGACTTTTCAGTCTATCTCGTCTTTACGTTTTATTTATTTTTGTATTTTTACTTTTCATCTTGTTTTCACGTTTTGATTTCGTTTTTTGTTTTTTTCTTTACTTTTCTATCAGACTCGTTTTCACCTTTTTTTTCTTTTTTTCTTTTTTTTTACTATTCCGTCCACCTCATTTTCACGTTTTGTGTTTTTGTTGTTGTTTGGGTTTTTTTTTTTTTTTTTGTTTTGTTTTTTTTTTGTAATTTTTCAGTCTATCTCATATTCATTTTTTGGGTTTTCTACTTTTTTTTTTTTTTTCAGTCCAACTCGTTCTCATGTTTTTTTGTTTTAGTTTTTTTTTTTAATTTTCCGACCATCTTGTTTCTACGTTTGTTTGTTTTTGTTTTTACTTTTCCGTTCATCTTGTCTTCACGTTTTTTGTTTGTTTTTCTGCTTTTCCGCTTATCTACTTTTCACGTTCCTTTTTTCTATTTTTTTATTTTTTTACTTTTCAGTCCATTTCGTTTTTTGTGTTTTTTTTTTTCACGTTTTTGTTTGTTTTTTTTGTTTTGTTTTTTTTTCGTATTTTTTACTTTTTAATCCATCTCGTTTTCACGTTGTTTTTTTTTGTGGAGGGGGGTTACTTTTTAGTCCGTCTCGTTTATACGTTTTTTTTGGTTTTTTTTGTTTTTTTTTTGTTTTTTGTTTTTCCTAGTCCATCTCATTTAGATGTTCTGGGTTTTTTTTTTTTTTCAGTCCATTTAAAGTTTTTTTTTTTCCTTTTTATTTTCTTTTCAAACTCAATCAATTTTAGTTGTTATTTTATTCATTATTTTATTCCAATCATTTAGGTTTTTTTCTTTTTCTTGCCTTCTCAAAATTCTACTCTTACAGCCTCGCCAGGTCAATGTTTGTAGTTTTTGTCTATGAAATGTTTTAGTGACAAAGACATCGAAACGTCATTCTCATCAAATTCTACCGTTTCTACTTTCGATTTCCCTTGCTTACCTGTCTGACCGCCATAACAGTCTCTCCTCTTTTTTCTACTTTGTCGTTCTTTAATGTCTTTTGCTGATGAAGAATTTCTATTTTTGTACTGCAGGCATTTGTATATGCTTTGTGTGCATAATCTGTGTGCATTGGACGGAATTCCCCATCTTAACTTATTTATATTCAGTCTTCTTCCATTCTTCTCCTCCCTCCGCTTTGTTATTGCTCATTAATTATCAGAGCACGATTCTTTTGTTCGAAATAAGATTTTATAATTAGATTCACATTATCTATCTATCTATCTATCTATCTATCTATCTATCTATCTATCTATCTATCTATCTATCTATCTAAGCCTTTTCATTATCTATCTATCTATCTATCTATCTATCTATCTATCTATCTATCTATCACTTTTCATTATCTATTTATCAAGCTATATATCCGTCTAGCTAAGCCTTTTATTATCTATCTATCTATCTATCTATCTATCTATCTGTATCTCTCTCTCTCTCTCTATATATATATATATATATATATATATATATATATATATATATATATATATATATATATATATATATATATATACTTTTTACTATCTATCTAAGCTTTTTATTGTCTATCTTATTTTATATCTACCCACGTTACTTTAACTATAGTATATCTAATTGTGTTCATATTTTTCACGTTACTTATCTCAGCTCCCTAACAGTTATTTACCTTAAAAATGATAGATAGATAGATAGATAGATAGATAGATAGATAGATGGATAGATAGATATGAGCAGAATTAGATAGATAGATAAATAGGTAGAACTTTGTTTTCGTTCGTTTCTTTATTTATTTCTTATTCGGTTCTTTATTTATTTCCGAGTCTCTACATATCAGGATCTATCGATCTGAGCCGATTCATGAATCAGTCTAACATTTTATTATGAATAACTTATCCAGGGATGTGTGTGTGTGTGCGTGTGTATTTGAGTGTGCGTGTGTGTTCGCTTTTGTCTCCATTGTTCGATCATGAATATCTATCCTTCAATCTGCTTGATCGATCGTCATCTAGCAGTCAGTACCTTCACGTGCTTTTAAAATCAGAATTGCCTATTGGCGCACTTCGCGCGTACGAAGACCTTAAGCGAATTTCACTGCTTCATTAAGGCTCCCGGCTCCCCTCCCCACTTTGCAACACACAAATGCACCCCCCCACATTCTGCAACACACTTATCGCTTTCTATTTACTACATTATCGCAACACTATTAAATTCGTTTTTTTTTTTTGTTTTTTTTTGTACTTATAAAATCTGCGATGTTCACGAAGAACAGGTAATCTTTATGCGCGACCACAGGAGACAACGTACCTACCTCAAATGGTAGTTCTAGCTAGAATATATTTTAATACCAAGCCTTACCCGAAATCTATGACAATTTATTTTTTTTACCTGTTCACTTCTCTATCGAAAAATTTTAATAACGATAAAGGTAATGTGGAGTCTGTTTTTACAATTGCCAAAATAAAAACAACAATGTCAATAAAAGCGTTTTAAGTATATCAACAGGTCCGTAATTTATGTTAAAAAAATTATTTTACAAAAGGGATTATTTATTTTTTATAGGATCTCCTTCCTTGTGAAGGCACTTAATCCAGCTAAAAGAAAACATTACACAGAGTAAAATTTCAGATCCAAATTCATGTTATGTAGTTACTGATTAGTTTCGTGTATAAATTAAACAAACCGTATTTATTTTGTAGAGAAAAAAAAAACACACACACACACACATACTACAATGCAGGACCGGTGTGTACTACCCTCGACCCCCGATCGGTGTTGCGGTTTTAATTAGGGGCCCCGGGCAATACTTTGTGACCCTCATTATCTCATCAACATTTGCTCTTTTTTCTATATATATTTATATACGTTACAAATTAAACTAAGCACGGCTGATTATTAAAGGATGAAAAAATTTTCGCGGAATTTGACGTCATTCTGTGTTCTTTTCTTTTTCTTCATCCCCAACCGTGAATTTGATTTGCACATATTAAGTCACAAAAACAAAAACAAAAAAAAAAAAATCTCTATAAAATTCCCTATTTTTTATAAATAATGTTGAGTGTGTTAAAATTATTCAACTTTTTAGCAAGAAAAATGACCGCAAAACATTGTTGATTTATTTAACATAGAGTGATCTATTACGACATGTCACTAATTTGGATTTAGATACATTGTATTTATTTTCAATTTTTCTTGTTCAATTGTTCACCTATATTGCATAGGATCCATTATTTATTATTACAATGCAATCTGTATTTCATATGAGTACTACCTTATGAAAATTGAGATGCAATAGAGTGGGGGTGCCGTATTATAGATTGGGGGTGGGATGCACAAAACGCTTGCACCTGTCCTGCTACTATGTTTTAACAATTATCCGTTTACCCAGCATCCAGGTAAATACATAAGTAAGTCATATATATATATATATATATATATATATATATATATATATATATATATATATATGGCTTGCTTCTCAAATTGAACTCGCCTAGTGGTATATAGGGTATTCACCTTATTACAAGTTACTGGCTACCTGGCGATTGTGTGAAAGCAGATGAAACTAAAAGCAGTGGCTAGTCACTGCTAACCTGGTTGTTCAAATTTATATATATATATATATATATATATATATATATAAATTCTGTTGATACATTATTTTTTATAATTAAACAGGAAATATATTAAAATATTTGTTGGATTTAATCTATCATATATATATATATATATATATATATATATATATATATATATATATATATATATATATAATTATTTATTTAAAAATTATAACATAAATATATTATATCTGCTCTACTATGTATTGAGCACTCTTTTAAGAATAGTAATTGTTGGTTATTGGAATTTATTCCGTATACACTAATCTATACTTATATATATATATATATATATATATATATATATATATATATATATATATATATTTTTGTGTTTGCTTGCGCGCATGCGCGTGTGTCTAATACTGAAGAAAAATTAATTATATGGTAATTTTCTAAGCGTAGATTTCATGTGGCACAAGGCCGAAAGTATGGGGCACCCAGTGAGGATCGAACTCACTGTTCAATAGTACAACATTTTAATTATATGTATGATTACAATGTTCGCTTTCTGATCGGTCTAGAGGTTAGAACGTTCGCTTTGTGACCATGAGACCCGGGTTCGAATCTCACCATGGTCGATTTATCAGGAAGCTAACTGA